CAAGCATGGCCAGACGGTGAGCCTCAACTATGCAAAGTGCGGCTTCGACGGACTGGCTTTCTCCGTGAACTATTGCTCGAGTAACGACAAGATCGACGTCCGAGTCACAAGCCCCATGGCTGCCAACGTCATGCTTTCACGAACCTGGTGTGGTGTGGGATCGAGCATGGAGGAGAACACTACAGACACAGACGCGGCTGAGATGGCGCTGGCGGACCTCACAGAGGAAGAGACAGAGCAGCTCGACCAAATGGAGCAGGTGCAGCAGAGGGAGATCGACCAGAGCAATGGCGAGATGGAGCGCTAAAGGGTCAGTACTTTTAGTTGTTGTGTCATACGATAGGGGTGAAAGTGGCAGTTTGGAAAGTTTCCATCGTGGAAGTCAGATGCATATCCACCCACTTGGCAGGATGACTGCAGCAGCGGCGAGCTGCCGTCCACCGGCGAGCTGTGCTATGATGGCACCCTTCTGGTTGAGACCTTTAACGTGAAGGTGATCAAGAGTGCTGGCTCCAGCGGAACACTCGACATGAAGGCCCATTGGCCCAAGCACTTTACCCCCAATTGCCAGGATGCCTAATCAACCTTTGAAGATCCTACAAGATGTTCCTGCTTCAAGTCGGAAGAAGATGTTCAACGATACTTAACTATGCTGCATGCTGAAGAATGTGGAAGCAGGTGCTGGGTACACCTGCTCCAACTTGCTTCCACGCCTCAGTTTCCACCCTCTAGCGGTTTTTGCAACGCGCCAAGGCTGTCGGCCCGATCCAGGGACAGTGCAAGGGGGCGGACTTCCAGATGAACGGCAATGAGCTGACAGTGGACGGTCTCGAGACTTGCGGAATCACAGGTGCCGAGTACAAGGCTGGCCCATCATAAGGTCGCTATAGTATCAACAGGCTTTCTGAGAGAGTACTTCTTGGCCATTTGGACGATCGCCAGCTGTTCCGAAGCATTCCTGTTGATTTGTCCAGTGCCTTTGAACCTTGCGAACAGCATGTGCTTTTGTCCACCAGGTGAAGTACTGCGCCAACACGGATCAGTTCGTGGTGCAGGTGATTAAGCCTATGGCGATCGACGTGGTGCTGAAACGCTCCACGTGCGCTGCCAGCTTGGCGGCCGTCGCAGTCCCCGCGCCCGTTGCGCCCATGGGCCTCGTGGCGCAGGCGGAGTCAGAGCAGCTGGGCTGCTCCGGCTACGGGAAGTTCCCCAAGGGCCATCTGTGCTACAAGGGCACTTTCTTGGTGGAGACCTTCTATGTGAAGATCTCCTCGAGCAACGGCGAAAGCGGCAGGGTGGACGTCAAGGCGCCTTGACTGCATGCACACACTGCAGGCACATTGAGACGCACACACACACACAAGCAGGGCAATGCCATCAAACACATTTCTGTGAGTCCTGAGAGGAGTGTATAGTCTACACATCGTTTTCTGACTTGCAGCCTGATTGAGGCTGTGGGACCCAAGCAGGGCTCATGCTACGGTGTGGGTTTCCGCAAGCATGGCCAGACGGTGAGCCTCAACTATGCAAAGTGCGGCTTCGACGGACTGGCTTTCTCCGTGAACTATTGCTCGAGTAACGACAAGATCGACGTCCGAGTCACAAGCCCTATGGCTGCCAACGTCATGCTTTCGCGAACCTGGTGTGGTGTGGGATCGAGCATGGAGGAGAACATCACAGATGCAGATGTGAAGTCAGATGAGCTGGCACTGGCGGATTTTGCCAATGAGCAGACCGACCAGAGCTTTCAGCTTGCAGCGCAGATGGAGGCAGACCGATCTGTTTGTTTGCCGCCCCAGCGTTGTTTTCTTTCTTTTGCTTCCCTCCCCCTGTCTTTTCTTACTTGCATGGCAACTTTGTGATGTTTGGTGAGTGGCGTGAGTGGTCAAGTTTCTTTTCTCCAACGTGTCAAAGTCAAAGCCAGGCAATTCTGAAACTGGCACCGGCTGGGTGCGAAGTGGCTTGCAGAACTTGTTTTCCAAGTCCGACTTTGGGCGTAGTGGCGCTGGTGCGAGCACGGGTGCGCGTCGCGTGCGCGCACCATATGGACCAAATGGGCATACCCATAGAGGGGTTTACATTTGGACATCGGTGGCTGTCGGCGAAAATTATGTGTTTGTTGCAGTAACTTGCACCCGCCCAACCCATGTCCACTTGATTTTCTCGTTCCCTGGTCTCCAACCAAGGCTCCTCTGCCCATTGATCAATATGCTGCGTTTGTCGGCAAATTGGATCATCGATCCTGACTTGACAGGATGACTGCAGCAGCGGCGAGCTGCCGTCCGATGGCGAGCTGTGCTATGAGGGCACCCTGCTGGTCGAGACCTTTTCCGTGAAGGTGCTCAAGAGCGCTGGCTCCAGCGGAACGCTCGATATGAGCGCCCCTTGGCCCCAGCAATATGCACTCGATTGTACTGCGGGTGTTCGACACATTGTCAAGAATGTAGAAGCAAGTTGAACGACTTCTGCAGCTGGCATGCAGAGGAGCATGACCCCGCGC